CTCGTCAGCAAAAGTGATGCTAGTTATTCATGTTTACACAGCAGCACGCGTGGCCCGCTGCCGTACTCCCGCCCTTGCCACCGTGCTAAGCGCGCTATTTCACACATAATCGCTGTGAAGAGCTCAACCGCTGCGCTTTGTGAGAGACTAAAGAGAACGATCCTAGACATGGATAAGGACCGTGACAAACGTCGTTCCGTCGTAATCTCCAACCTGGAAATTTCGTTTTGCTTTGCTCCCTATGCATACATCAGCACACAAACAACAAAAACAGCCACCACCGTCCACCATCATGTACCAGACATGCTTGTCATCTTTGAGGTCAACCGCATTGCTCGGTACAACCATCATCGCTGGTTTTTGCCGTGATCCACCTACCCCCCCGGGGGACACCATGCAGTCATGAGTTATCATTTTCCTTGAACATGGAAACATGAACATAGCAGCAGCGTATGGCAGCGGTAGCAAAGGACGAGGGGGCGAACACATCCAGCAACTATGCACACTTGTATGCATGCCACCAACGTTTTACGAGCCGCAGAGTAGATTGCGGTCGCGCAGGTTGGTCCCGGCATACCATTGCCAGGTCGGCCACATCAGTTGTTACCCAAGTTGTGGCAATCAACACAGAGTTCAGCACTCTCTTCCCTCTGTGTACACACGAACTAGCGCTATCCACTAGGTCAGGAGCGGAAGCGAGAGAAAAACTCACTTTGCAAGAAAAGCTCGCTTGCGCCGGGATTCGAACCACTGACCTGACCTCTAGAAGGTTTCGAGGATACCAACTAGACCACCGGGGCGCTATGCATACGACCTTACCTTTGGCAGTTGGTTGCTGGCGCAGGGATGTTGGCTTTCGTCTGTACTCGTTGGGGAGGGAGTCACACAACGGCTACTGGCAGCTACACCGCCAGCGAGTTGAAGATTTTGCTCTATTACATAAAGTAGTATATATAATAGTCGGAAAACAAACCCTTCAAAGTAGACATGAACGACGAGGCTATGCCACACGGGGGACGTTTCTCGTGTGGCCCGGCGAAGGTGGCTCTCCCAGTCATCATCTTCACGTCACATCGTACACCAAATAGAAAGGTTTCGTATCAGATAGGCCACCATCGACAATTATCGATGAGGCCGACAGATTTCGCATCGACTACACCTAAAGCCATGCTCCGGTTTTGAATGGATGATCGACAGCTACAGCAGTGGAATCACGTGTACGTACGCCAGAAAACCACAGCACCCCCACGGGCGCCGCAACACCGCACGTGTAGCATATTTCTCGTGAACGTGTCACCCAAAGTCCACAAGGGGGTCGGAGAAACACACAATCGTCCGCCGTTTGCATCGATGATCACACCGTTAGCGATGAGCGTGGTATAATAGCCAGCCGACGGTAGGGAGCGAGTTCGTTCACTTTTTTTAGTTCCCTTGCAAAGAATACCTATGTGCTACATTGTACATCAGTGAAATTCACCGCGGTTCTCATTCCCTTGCCAATCCCTTGGTTTGAACTTTTGAACTGCAAACTGCCTGCGGTGTCGCGTGGGCCAAAGCTACGCAGCCTACTACCACTGCTGCAGCTGTTGGCGGGATCTTCCGGGTCTGGCCAACAAAGCGTTGTGGATTATTTCAACTGGTGTCTTGTGTGTGTTTACGGAGTACTTGTTCGAAATGCGTTGAACTTGTCAGACCCACAAGTGAACGGATCTCTCTCTCTCTCTTTCTCTCTCTCTCTCTCTCTGTCTCTCTCTCTCTCTCTCTCTCTCTCACTCTCTCTCTCGTTGTCGGCGGGTTGGCTGGCTGCCTTCGTCAACAACATGATGGCGGCGTGGAGTTGTGGAGACAGATGCCACCACGATCTTTGTGTTGTGCCAAACTTTCATTCAACCCGGTGACCTCAAACAAAACATGAACCAACTTCTCATGTGTCTCGGAACACCTAATGCGAGAGGGGCATCAGCCACGAGCCTTGAGAAGACCAATCCGCACTTGCGTGTCATATCGTACGCACACGATACCAAGTTAAAAAAATGGCGCGGGTTATCTTGGATAGCATCAAACCAACGACCGACAGGGTTGTTATTCGTGCTACAGCAAGTTCAACACATACCCCGACCTGACAATCTATCTCATACCAAGTAATAATGCCATCACGAAGTATTCAAGGGTGAAAATTGCGAACTGCAACCGGGTACAATCATAGTGAACGACTCTCAGATGACTTGTTGAACAAATGCGTGGTTGCGTGCCACATTCCTGCTTCTTTACGAAGACTATTGTTCCGATACGAACATACTTTCGAAGTAGGTAGGTGTGCTTGTTCGCTAACCAGGCGAAGGGCGAGGTCTGCCTTAGGCAAACACGAGGCGGCACCGTTGTTCACCATACACGACTGGACTTGCGCATGACAACGCCCGCAACAGCAGCTTGAACAATCGACTGCTGCTGGCCACCACACTCCGGCGACGGGAGTGTAAAAAAACAGTAAAGTTCTCTGCATTTTCAAATCTGCAACGACGTGCTGGGCTTGGAGACGGACAAAGGACAACGGCGAAAGTGGGTGCGCTGTTTCCCCCAAACGAATGACGTCGGAAAAACCGAGCGAGCATATTGGCCGCGCTCCCTTCCTGTGTTGGGAATGATGGTTACCGAAAGGGTAAGCCGGTGAACGCGGGAGAGGCGCAGGGACGCACAGCACACAGCGAGTTACTCCCGGGGAGATAGACCGCAGTACGCACATCACACAGGGCACGCACACAAACACACACACCCGACAAAGAACGGAGAGCGACCAGCAACATACTCGTGCAACGTAGGATGGAAGAATCCCCGCGCGCGACAGAAAAATGATATTCGTACTGAGATACAGGGAAAGAGAGAGAGAGAGAGAGAGAGAGATTCGGTGTTGTTGTCGTGTAGCGTACAAAAAGAGGTCGCACGATTCACCGCGCGAGAGAGTCAAACACGAGGCGTACGCGTTTCATGCGTCGCGTCTCTCTCGGAGTGCCCTGGTCCTCTCACCGTTGCGCGTCGTCCGCCGCTGCAAAGGAGTAGCCCTCGCCCGCTTCCTCCGCCTCCCCGTCCTCGTCCTCCTCCCTCAAGGCGTTGCCCATTGCCCCCCACCCAAGGTCAATGTTGTCCGAAGAAGGCGCCCGGCCCGCCGCCGCGCTGTCGTCAAGCGCCGAGGGAGCATGATGGCCCAAGTCGCAGCTATCCCTCTCGTCCAACGCAATGAACGCCGCCCCCACCGCTGCCGCGGCCAGGGCGGACGGGGGCCTCGTTGGCGAGATCGGCGAGGGGCAAAAAGTTGCAGGCGCTGAACCCATGATGTTGGCGCCGCCGGCCGCCGGCGATTCAGCGCCACCCGCGGCTTGGTGCAGCGATCCGACCCGTTCTCTACCTCCACCCCCCCGATCTTCGGGAGGCTGGAAGTACATCTAATCCGGTCGCGTACCCGCCACGGCGGGCACGATGCAGCAGCTTTCCCCCCCTGCTCTACTTCCTACAGTTTTCTGTGGTCTGATGCGGGAGGCGTCCCCTGGCTCCTTCCTGATCTCTTTCTGCCTGCAGTTAAGGCCAATGCTATTATTCCGATCTGTCTGTCTTAGTCTATATATAGTACTGTATTATCGACAACTGACTCGAGTGACGTGGTGCTTTTGGCGTTAAGATCATCAAGTACATTTCGCGGAGCCCCTGCCTTTCGTTTTTTTTAACCCCGCAACAGAGACCTACAGACGCCAGATGGGATGCGCGAACGACGTGCGCGTTGATTCAAACTTCGGAGGGAGTAAAGCAATCGAGGATGTGGAAGGAGTGTAAAACGCTTCTCTCGCTTTCCAAGCAACGATCGTGGGGTCGTAGGTGTGGCTGGTACATGACATCATGCAATCGACTCAATGAGCTTGTTGTGCCGCACTTGCTCTCTCACAGCACACAGCGGACGTGAGCGGCGCAAGACGCGCCAAACCACAAGGGTGTATCTGGCGCAAAGGCTGTCGGCAAGTGGATCGGGTTGTGCGTTCAGCACGCCCACTCGGCAAGAGATATGCCCGCTTGCCTTCGAGCTGCACCACAGATAATGGCCGTCTCTGCTTTCCCAACCACCGTATAACGTTATATTGCAGAGTTCTGTACTAGGACGATTGCGATCATGGGTCTTATCAGCAACACGACGTGCCACCTGAGCTCCACCGAGTAAGTATTGTTCGGCATGAAGGGCCGGGGGATAGACGGGACCTAGTTCCAACCCGCGGCGCGGAGACAGGCGTTCCTACTTCCTACATGGTAGTGGTCTGTACGACTTAGTTCCCTTGTCTTTCTCACGCCAGGTATTATTTTGCTCCGCACTCACACTCTCCCGGTGTACCCCGGCTTGTCTGCCGTGCGGAGCTTTTCTTTGTGCGCATTGCCGTTTGTCTTGGTCAACAACTCCCACCGTGGAAGGGGTGCGTGTATTAACACCAACGCACATGTATGTATTTGTTCCGTGTGACGACCAGGTAATACAGCTGTAGTAGAGGTTTGGAGGGCGGGTGTATCATGTGTCGGCGGTTTCGAGTTTCGAGAGGGCGCATCTGAGAAGCATTCTGTGTGCCAGGTTGGGAGCTTGTTTTTTACAGCGTTTGAGTGCTCCAAAAAATATAGGCTGCAGAAGGCGGTTGTTCGTGAGAGTGCGCCCAAGGGAAGGAAGTGCGGAGAAAGTCTTGCGATCAAAGTAACAAGGTGCATGTACCGGCAGAGGCACCCTCCCATTCTGACCCAGGATCCAAGCCCCTGAGATAGATAAGCATGACCGTACGGTACTCATAGTCGTGCATGCCGTAGTCGTTAGACCATGACCGTACGGTAGGTGGGTCAAATCTGCGAATGGCTACTATTAGCGGAACGCATGACAAGGACAAACAACGTTGTTCGTGTTTTGCCACCGCTGGATCAAGTACACATGTTTCGCTCGAAGGCGCAGGCACCTGGATGTCCACATTAACTCAACACTCAAGGACTGAACGCTCAACCATCACCTTCTCGGCCATGCCGTAAAATTTGCTGTGGAACTGCGTGGCCTAATCCTACTTGATTGTTGTCTGATGATATGTCCAAGAACGTGGAGTGTGTTCAGCCAAAAGAGGGCAGACGGAGACATAGATGAATCAGCAAGCTACCTAGAGTGATAACGGACGACTCGAATTTAGCGAAGGCAACGTCCAATCGCGGGAGGTGCTGGACGCATACAGCCCCGACTCTCTGCACTGAACAACACTACATGCGGGCCACTATATGTAAAAGAAGAACCCCCAGCAACACACTCAGGAGAAAATGGAACACGACACGGGGAAACGCTTGCACACCGTCACAGGTGCTTGGGAATGCTGGAGGTTTTGCCTCGATCAAAGAGCTTGAATATTTACACCGAACCCGGCTTCACGTCTTCTGCTGGAACCCAGCAGGCAAGACCAACCCAAACGGTTTCCCATTACCCCGAGGACACAGCCTCTTGAGCCGTTTTGTGCTGGTTTACCCTCTAGGAAACGCAAAACCTATACGTCGTCAACCAAATGCTGATCAAAGTGAGGCCTGGCACTTGGTCTACAACCTGTTATAAACGCGTTGTTGTTCGATACAGGGTGAAGCCCGCACCCGACAAGCTCAGCTTCTACTGGTGGCATTGCCACCGCTGCTGGCGCTGCTGCCTCGTTCGCCATCTCTCCTTACATCCCCCGAACCGTATCCAGCATTGCCACCCTGGTGGCTTTGATGTCTACCGCGTTTCTGCCGGCGAACCATCTCCTCAATCGTTGCGTAAAAACCGCTCATGTCAACCGACGCAACACCATCGTCCATCTCCCCGGTCCCTTCCCGGTGTTGGTGAACCTCTCCGTGTCGGCCGACGCCTCCGGCGGCAGCAATAACACCCGCTTCCCGCCCGCGCTCGACAATCTCTTGCGCGCAATCCCACTCTTCCACGCGAGCGCACGCGGCCGCCGCCGTGTTGTAGCTGATCGCGTTGGGAGCGAAGCCGGAATCGGCAATCTCCTCCAGCAGGCTCAAGGCCTTCTCCCACTGGCCGGCTTTCCCGCACGCGCCCATGGCCGTGTTGAAGCTCACGAGATTGGGTGGAGGGGCCGGCTCTTCTATCCACGAGCTCACGGCAGCGCCGTGGGCGGCGGCGTCTCGGTCGCGCGGGCCTGATCTCGCAGGCCTCTTGGCCGTGCCGCTCTTCATCTCCTCCAGGACCTCCAAGGCGCCTTCCCAAGCCTCCGCCCTCTGGCAGACGGCAAGGACGGTGTTGTAGCTCTTCACCTCGGGCGTGAGCCCGGCCTCTCGCATCTCGACCAACAGGAAATACGCTCGTCTCCACGAGTCGTGACCCCCATCCTCTCCGCCTTCACCTCTTCCCGCCGCCACGTACCCACCCCCAGCCGCCGACCCCTCCTCCCCGGCAGCGGTCACGCCCGCCCGTTCCGGAGTAGCGCCAAATGCCAGGCCCTTTATGCCCCGAGAGACGGCGCGGATGACCGCGTTGAAGACGACCACGTTCGGCTCGGCGCCGGCCGACTTCATCTTCCGCAGCAACTCCAGCGCGACGTCCGCCCGACCCACGTCGCCACACGCCGTGATGGCCGAGGCGAACGAGTACGCGTCCGGCCGGGGTACCGTGGTTCTTAGTCTCGCCCCCCATCCGCCCTTCCCGGCGGCGGCGCTCCCGGCGGTGCCCCCGGAGCCCTCCCCGAGCCGCACGGCGTCGCCGCTCACCATGCGGTCCAGGATCGCGGTGGCCTTGTGCCACTGCCCGTTCCCCCTGCACGCGAGCATGGCGCAGTTGAAGCTCTCGGTGTCGAAGACGCCCCTCCCTTCCATCTCCTGCAAGAGTTCAAGCGCGGTTGAACCCTCCCTGGCCCTCGCGCAGGCCGTGAGGGCGGCGTTGTAGCACACGAGGTTCGGACCCGCGGCGGGAGAGGACGAGATCGCGGCGCCCCCGCCTCTTGCCTCGGCCGCCAACGCGTCCCAGCCGGCCGCCCGCTCCTCCCGCGCCGCTGGCTCCTCACCACACGTCGCCGCCGAGGACCCCTTCCTCTGCAGAAACCGGAGAAGGTCGAGCGCCTGCTTCCACCTCCCCGCCTCGCCGAGGGTGGATATGACCGCGGCGTAGCACCCAAGGTCGGGGCTTACGCCAGCTGCTTCTTCTTCCCCGGTACCGCCGATGCCCGTGCCCGCTTTCGCCGCCGCTTTCGTCATCTCGTCTAAGACCTCCACCGCGCGCTGCCACTGCCCGCCAGCGCGGAGGCAGGCGAGGTGGCCGCCGTAGCTGCACACGTCCGGCCGTACGCCCACCTCCAGCATCCGGGGCAGGAGCGCGGTCCCTTCCCGCCACCGCCCGGCGATCGCGCACGCCTCCATGGCGGAGTTGAAGCTCACCGCGTCCGCGGCAGGCCAGGCAGCCCCCTCCCCCGTTCCTTCGGCAGCGCTTGCCGCCGCCGTTCTACCGACCCCCCTCCTAGCGTCCCTGCTACTATCACGACCACTGCTAGCTCTTAAGTCCGGTGACGCCGCCGTAGCCCACGAGAACGCGTCAGAGCTCGCGGCCGCGCCCCCCTGCTCTGCATCATCATCGTCGTCGCTACTGATACCGCCGACCGAGGAGCCAACAAGCCCTCCCCCCGCCGGCGCCGCCATCCTGCCCAAGAGACCGAGCGCGCTCTCCCACTGGCCCGCGCGAGCGCATGCCGAGATCGCCGCGTTGATCGAAGCCACGTCGGGGGCGATCGGGACGCCGGTGCGCCGCCGCCGGAGCCCGTCGTCGCCGCCACCCCCGCCACCCATTTCCTCAAGCAGGTCCAGCGCCCGCTCCCATTGGCCCGCCTTTCCGCAGGCCGTGATGGCGGTGGTGAAGGTGAAGACGTCCGGGGCTACGCCCTCCGCGCGCATCTCCTCCATCAGCCCTAGGACAATCGCCCAACCTTCCTCCTCGTCCTCGTCCTCCTCCTCGGCAGCCCGTCCTCGTTGCTCGGCGACACCGTTGTTGCCGTTTATGCGGGTCTCTCCAATTTTTCTTTGATCGCCGACGCACGCGTGAGCGGCGGCGTTGTAGCTCACGACCTGCAAAACAAGCAAAAATCCATGCAACGCAGCGACAACGGTGTGTAAGCATGGTGAGAACGGGGCGCAGGGCTAGGTCAGAATGGCATGGGAAAAACAAGACTTAGTCCTTCACACGGACCGAAATTAGACGCAAACACCCTTAGGGCACAGATCGACCAAATGGCACTGCATCCCATCATGCGCATATCGAGCATGATTGTCAATATCATTCGCCACAGCAGTAGTGCATCGGGTCACTGTTTTGGTGCGAAACACCTCCCGAGTAAGCACACCACACTTGGACTGATTGCAACAGAAAGGGATACACTGCAAAATAATTCGGAACCTGCCGGGCGGGTTGCCCCAGCAGGCAGCGTCGATCGGCCAACATTTCTCACGTTCGGAGGTACCCCTTGCTCTCGCATGACGCGCAGAAGCGCCAGCGCCCGCCGCCATTCACCGCAGTTGCCGCAAGCCGTGATCGCCGCGCTATAACTAAAGACGTCGGGCCGCACGGCAGCCGGGGCGGGCGGTGACATTGCCGCACCGCCGTCGACGCCGGCCGCTGGGTCCGCTTTGAGGGCGGTATCGACGGTGGCGGCGGCGGCCGCCTCGGCAGCGTTAGCACTAAAGCGCATGTGGTCGAGAATGGCCAGTGCTTGTCTCCAGCGACCGCACCGTGCTAGCGCCGTGATGCACGCGTTGTACCTGTCATTGGGGAAAACACATCACAGAGGGAAGGCGTGTGTGCGGCGGGGCGGGGGCACGGATATTTTTAGAGTTGGTACGGAAAGGGACAAGAGACGGACAAAAGGAACACGGGGATGCGAAAAACCGTGAAGGTGAGCAGCAGTTGTGTTCGTCGCCTGCGGCCAACTTGCGCGCGACCTACTTCAAAAGCGGTCGTGTACGCTGCGAGGTCAACCAGCCTTCAAAGCCGTACCGCTGTCGTTGCTCGCTTTGAGGAAAACCCTTTCATATGCTCTTGCGTTTTTGTGTTGAGTACGACGCGGGCCGTCACGCACGCTCCTGTAGCTTCAAGACTATTGACAAACGTGTGTCTTCAGTGGCACAACACGGCTTTCATCGAGCTCGGCTCCCGTTAAGTACCACTACATTGACCATCTTGCAAGACCACGAAGTGTTGCTACGATGCTATTGCTGCTGTTGTAGAGAGAAGTTGAAGACCTTCCATCCCGACCGCATGATCGACAGAGCCACAACAAAGTGAACCGGAGCGCGGCCTGCCTGAGGCGCAAGATTCTATATCTGATGACAGCACCTATGCACCAGCGCGCCTGTGTCGTGGACCCAAGCCTCGCATGCCAACCGCTTCCACCGGGTTGCTGCAGTTAGTGCGACCGGTTCGAGCGTCACGGCAGCAATGTTGTCGTAGGCTAACACCACACCCGTGAGGTAGGGAATTCACATTGGAACGCACATGTAGATGTTGAACGGAGGAAACCTTTCCCTTTTGACGTCCTCCATCAGGTCCAGCACCTCCTTAGCCCGTCCGCGAAGGCCGAGCTCCACCACGCGCTTCAAGAACGTCTTCTGCCGTACTTTCACCAACGCAGCATCGACCTGAGCATCGGCCTCGGATTTGGCCCCGCTGCTGCTGCTCGCCGTTCCCTCCGAACGGCCATCGTTTCCTTCCTCACCAGCTCCTATCCTAGCTGCTGGCGGAGAGCCGTTTACCTATTGCAGTTTTGTCCACCGAGTGAGAGGGGCGAGATGCAACATTTTGCTCGAACTCTGTTGTTGGCCAAGACAAGGGTGAGCCCTGCACCAGTCATCTACACCTAGCTACGACGAACTCTTGCGACATGTTGATATAGTTAGATGCATCTGGTACGTGATTGGAGGTGTCTGGTGAGGTTTCGGTCCCAACTCGCGTTTTAACTACTGCAGTTTGTACATGTGTGTGATAGACTTGTATCGGCGGACGTTTGGAGATATCGCAGAATGTGCGTTCCCTGCCTCGACGCCCCCCCCCCCCCCCCCCCCCCCCCCCCCCCCCCCC